TCTATCTACTTAAGGGTGACGATAGACTCTTGAGCGACGGAAGAACCTTGTTGACCTGTCAGTAAGACCCTCAAAGCTCTTTGAGTGTCAGCATGATCAACATGGACGTTGCTCTGGCTAGTGCTGTGTGCAGACAAAATTATTCAAATGATATGCTTCTTCTCCTTTTCATAATGTTGTTTTGAAAACCATGCTGGGTGTAGATTTGGGCAAATCCCCAAAACGACAGAAGGGCATATTGCAAGGACCACCCAGCAAGGGACCCTAACTCTGCTAAACACCCGTAGAAGAACCTTGAGGACCCGGAATCCCTTCTCGCGCCTGTGGCTTGGAATACTTCCGGTACCGATCGTAGCTGAAGGGCGCGCAATACCCTCAGCTATCTTAGACTTGCCTCTTGCTACTCGCGAAAAAAAAAGGGAGCATTTTGCGGTTCCCAGAGGAATTCTTATGAGGATTTACGAGGACGCATGCTTGGTTCCCTACTTACAAGACGTAAGGAAGTTGGAATTGGCAGTTGTGATAGTAGTGGTGGCGACAGCAGTGGGTCAGGGCAGTCAGAACTAGATAGCAACAGCCGTAGTACTAGTTGTTGAAATTATACCAAAGCTAGTGCGAATCCAGGAATTCTCAGGTGTTGGTAGCTCTTGGTACTTTAAAAAGGAACATTGTAGGAGAAGATTACTTGCAGTGGCAGGACACCAGCACCAGCAGCAGCAGCAGCAGCAGCAGCAGCAGCAGCAGTATCGGTACCGACTGCAACAAAGCAGCAGAATGAACACCGATGCAAATCCAAGAAACGACGAAAGAATTCTCACAGTGGCAAAATGTTTCAAGCACATGACTACTGTGCGCGTTTGTCACTACAGGTTGAAAACTCGAATGCTCAATCTGTGTTTTGCAGTTCGGGGTTAATGGGTGTAGGACGATGTCGATTCGGGCTTCTTCCAACCCTGGCTGCTTGTGTCTTGCGAAGCTCAGGGCCAGTAGAATTCTCGAGTTTTCACCCAATTTCCAAAAACACTTTGCCGCGCACACATGTATGATGAACGTCGCCTGTCTCTCTATCTGTTTGTCTATCCATGTTGCATGTTCGTAAGTCAACAGCTATGGTGCTATACCCCAATACATCGTTCTGGAAATGTCCACTTTTTTAACGGGTATGAATCATTCCCGGCTCCAAAGAGTAACAGACTGTGAAGCAATAATGTGCCTAGCGTCCGCACGTCCTCGGGCAGTACAGAAGGCCCAGGTCCGTTGTGCATGCGTGGCTTGCATGGTCGTGACAGGTGATGTTGGGGTTGTCCTCGGTTCAACGCGGTCTGGGGTTTAGGGTTTAGGGTTTAGGTTCAGGGTTCAGGGTTCAGGGATGAGGGGCAGGATTACACGTTGAAGGTTGTCAAGGTGCAAGGGTCTTTCTACATCTGCCGCTATCTAACCAGTCTCTGCGCAACATGCCTGCAAGACGCATGTTCAGAGTCGTTTTCCTTTCTCTGTCGAGGAAGAGAGATTGGTCTCATCGTGGCTAAGACAGACCTCTAAAATCTATACTGAGTCTTGACAAAGCTGCGGGAATCAATCAAGTACAGGTGTGAGGACTTACAGGCTTGAAGTTTGGGGGCTCACTGTCAAAGTAGAATTTACATGAGCCCTAGCTCCTACCACTTGGCCTCTGCTGAGCGCCCAATCAAAGTTGCTAAATGTGGAAGGTCCTGGGTGACCTCGTCACATGATGCGCGCCCTGTAATGAAAAACACACACACATACCCCAAAGTGAAACAAGGAATCCTAACTTCCGAACCCCGAATCTTGAAACCACAAAAAAGCCCAGCCCTAAATCCATTGTGTGCTCAGGTCCCAGAGGCCTCTTCAATCTGGTATGCGGTGTCGTTGTCCTTTCACAAAGCAAATTCAGACCAAGGGCTGCTTGTCTCCGTAGTGCTCAGTACGGAATGGGGAAGGAGAAAAAAATCAAACTGCCATAGGGCTTCTCTTTTTTGTAATACTCGAGGTTGCGAGTTAGTAGGAAATGCGGGGATGGGGTAGAAGGGTTATCACATGAAATGATAGAAGGATCGCTGTGGTGTGATCCATTCCTGCCTTCCAGACTACGCACTGATGGAGTTGAGAACTTCAGTTTCTCAGGCTTCAGGTAGCATTGCGGAGAGGAAGGTCGAATTATTGAATAGTTTAGGATTTAGAGTTTGGGAAATCGATACACCAGTTGACTTGTACAAGAAACCGAAGGGACCACTTGCTGGTCGGCTCTTATCCCTGAACTCCCATATGAGCCATAGACCATAGCTCATATGATAGACCACATTCCATGGACCCTGAAACAAACAAGCTGCTGAGCCTGTGTCCTTCAACTGTGATCTCAATCAACACCCTGAGCCCTCATCGGAGCTGCCTAAACATTGAACCCCAAGGAACCATCCATGGAACCCTCAAGCAGTCCTCACAGGGGGGGTTGGCGTGGGTAGCCTGAGGGCCACTTGAAGTGCTGCCTCAGAGGTTTCGGCTGTTGATGCCTATGCCTATGCCTGCTTGCCCGTTCACTGAACGCCCCACCCCGCAGAGTCAGGGTCCCCTTTCGATCACGAAGCACCGTAGCAGAACGTGGGTCCATGGTTTACTTTGTTCATTACAGATAAACCGACAACATCTTTGTGCAACCATGGCTGTCGATGTAGAGTCCTGTCATATACCTCGACCCTACTGAAACCTCCTGTATGATATCGATATCTTAAGGATGCGTGGGCGGTTGGGCCTGTAAGCCCGGAATTACAAACCTTCTGTTGAGGATTCATGTGGATTTGGTTGGCAGTTGTTGAGACGATTCAAGGCGCTTCAAATGCCTAAACAGCACAGGCATTCCGAGAAAGTCTCCCCGAAACCACGCAAAACATCACCGAGGACAAGGTTTAGGCCACAGGGTATCGGTGCCTCTCAGAACTGGGATCGGCAAGTATAGGAAACCTGTCAACGGCAGAAATTGCAAAAAGACAGCTGCTCATGACCCAGGAAACATCTGCTGTAAACACAAAATTCACAGAAATTCACCTAGCCATATTGCTGTCTCTGACAACCCTGGAAACGAAAAACAATTCTTCGTGTGGCCTTCGACGAGCCCTTCTGGTTTGGACGGAGCCTGCCAAAAAACTTCTACAAAAAACTTATACTATGCACATGCCCCAGTTACTACAGAATTCGTACGTAATTCCAAAACTCTAACCCTAATCCCTGAATCCAAGCTCTACACCTTACAACACTGCCCCCAAAACCTTGCACCCCAAACACTAATCCATGAACCCAACGTATCGTCCAGGCACCTCCACTGGCCAGCCGCCGATGAGAAGAATGGCTGGAGGAGGTTGTCCCATTGGTCCACACCTTCAAAATCGAGTCATGGCGACCGAAGTGGAAAATAAAAGTCAAATAATTGCACTGGGCTTATACGGAAAATATGGGGTGAGGAGGGGCTAGTTATGATATAAGTATACAAGGACTAGGAGTATTCAGGCTCAGAGCTTCGAGCTGGGGACTAGGGCAGAGGGCTCAGGGCCTTAATGCCAAGGCTTTTATGAATGGAGAAAAACGAATTTCCCCCGTCAGATGTGTCATGCAACATGTCCCTGCTACTGAGTCCTCAGATGTCACCTAAAAGAAGCCCGAAGCAGCCCTGGGACCAGAAGTTGGGAGCTTGGGCACCCTAAGTCCTAAACTCAAAATCGTTTGGCTTGCGGTCTTGGGGCATCAAACCTCACTCAAGCCATGTCTGAGGCTGCAACCAGATAGATGATCAAAGGTTAAAGGTGGTCGAAGTCACTCGGCTGCTGCAAGCTTTGTAGTTGAAATCATCAGACCGGGCATTACTAACAACGAAAAAAATTGCTTCTGAACAGTTGGCCAGCAGTAACAACGACATGAGCACTCCAACCCCAGCAAGAGTATCCTTCTTGTTTGAAACCGCTCAACTCATGGGTTATCGATCTCATAGGGGTGATTTCAAACAGCATGCTTGAGAATGTGTGGTTCCTATCCGGGTATCTCTAGATCAGGTTCAACTGTTTTGGAAGCAGTGCAACCCTAAATACAGCGGTAAAAAGCACTTGGTGACGGACGAGGGGGCCAAGTCCAGTCAGAGGTTCATAAGTCAAATTATCACCCTGCAGAAACGCTTGAATATTTGAAGAGTAGCCCTGTCATGCATGGCTAAACCCCACATCTCAAAGCTGCTCACGGTTAGAATGCAGCTGCAATTACCCTGCTTGAATGGCATACAGCCTTTACCCTGACCCCAAACCCAGGAGTCTCAACCCTAAGCCCTAAACTTGTACCATGATCTATCCAAGCTTTAATATCTGCCAAGTTGCAGGACTGCTTTGCAGTTCCAAAGCTGTGTATCTCGGACCTCCACATGCTTGTCAGACTGTCAAGGCTGATCCCACACCGGAATACCATGGCACCGTAGAACTTAAACCACAGACCTTAACTTATGTCACAAAACCCTAGACTCTAAATCTGTAGCCCTTAACACGAAGCCCCCAACCCTCAGACCCCAAACCCTAGACAGCTCCTTCATGCATTCAGGCATGGAGGGCTCTCAACATCAAATGCATGTAATCCCTACTTCTGCACCACTAATGTCCAGAATGGTCGCCTATTCCCCAATATAACCCCAATATAACCTTTATATAATCCCAGCTTCCATTTCATTTTCCATTTTCTTTTCCATTTGATTCTCCATTATTGGGTTATTCTTCAGAAACCTCCAGGTTAGCTTCGATTGCGAGGCTAGCCCATGATGGGGAATGCTAGAAGCTCTTGGGTTCGGGGCTTTGGGCTTCAGATGTTCAGCTTTGTCATGCTTGGGGTTTAAAGGGATCTTTTTGATGTGCTTGGGCATGAGTTTGAGTCCGTCAGTTTGAGTTGAGGTTTGTTTAAGAGAAAGAAAAGAGGTTTCTGCAAAGGATATGTGATTATTTGCCAATGCTGGTGAAACATACTTGGGCATCATGTACGGATTATATGACCTTCTTCCGTATTGACCACCAAAAAACATACGGACCATCCTGGGATGAAGGCTACCTTATAGGATGTCGGAAGGATGGCGGCAAAAGCACCCTGTTTTATTGGCGTCCCTTTGATGACTGAACGTGTGAATCAGGAACCTTAACCAGGCTACCATGATGAGGATATGTGGGAGAAATCTGATTTACTTACCATGGTAACATAGGTCAAGTTCCTCAATCACAACCACTTGTTGGGGATCAGGGTTTGTCAGTCAAGGGTCTAGGTTTTGACCCTCTGGGCTCAGGGTTCAAAGTTTTGGGCTCAGGAGTTCCTCTGACCCACGCAAGGGAGCCTCAGCAGCGGTCAGCGGTCTTAGAAACCAAAATGGGAACTGCAAGTACGAACCTGTAGTAAGGAATTACGAACGCTTCAACAAGTACAAACAGGTAAGATGAGCCATACGATCACTGTTTGAGGAGCCGTGCTTTCGTCGTAAATCTTGACGAAAACGCAGGAAACGGTACCGAACGCTGAGCAGCCTAAGATTTGTTTATGTCACCCAGCACTCACAACCTAACTTGGGCCCACATACATGTGAGGCCTAAAACGCTACACCCCAGACAAAAAAAATGCTCCCCGGAACTGCCAAGGAGCTGGGACAGCTGCTGACAGGAACCTGGGACCCCGTTCCCCTAGATGACCAAAAAAAATCCGTTAGCAACCAAGGGTTGTATTGGGGATATATTGGGATAGTGGAAAAGAAAATGGAAACTACTATAATGGGATATATAAAGTATATTTTGGGGATATATTGGGATAATGGAAAATAAAATGGAAACTACTACATAGTATATTAGGGCTTAGGGATGGTCTAGGAACCTTATTGGACCAAGCATACTAGCAGCTCAAAGGGTGCCAAATCGACACCAAGGTACCAGGTAGTGATCATCCCACTTTCTTTGAAAGTAGCGATGCTCACACCAGTATTTGAACGAAGTCGCCTTGGAGGGCACAAGCTACAACTGGCTGGGCTTTGATTTTGAAGATGTGGATTTCCGGGCTTATGGCCTCGCAGTTGACAATGTAAATCCGGTTTGTAGTCTTAATGCAGCGACTGATCTCATGAGCTTTCACAGAACCGTGCTAGTCAAGAAGACTAGTTCGATGTTCTTGAATGTATGTTGTACAATGACGGGGAGTATTCGCACTTTCTTGAAAAAAGTCAAACATGAGTACCATAGTATACTAGGCCAGCACAAGTCAATGTGCAAACAAGGTTGCAGTTTGCTTTTGCTACTTGAGGCCACAGGTCAGGTTGCCATGCCGGCAAGCATGTGCTACATCCAGCATAAAAACCTTGGTGTGGGCTGCGTTGGTTTGGCTAGATGGCCTCAGCTGCCTTGCTGCTGTCCTGTGGAGACTTCTAAAAAGACAAACTTATGCGACAGGAAGTTCCCCACAAAGAACCGGAAGTGGTCAACGGAAATCTGAAGCTCATCTTGGGATTGAGTAGAGATGTTGGGCCAGTACCTGGTTCTTCAACCTCACTACAATGAACGACTTTGTAGCAACCAGCACACAAATTGTAGAAACCAATCTTTTGTCGGGCTTCTTGCCCTGAAAAAGGGACAGCAATAGCCAGTTTAAACATAATTGTAATAATCGTAGTTTCTGTTACTATTCTTGACATTTCTAGTACCCTGAATGCGACTGTCACCTTTTTTCGAAATTTCGACTCGCACCACTACATGCTTTCTTACTGTTGCTACGATAACCCCAGACACACTCATTTAACGTTGAAAAGATGTATGCAGGGTGTAGCTTTCCGGAGCATGACCCTGAAAGTACCACAGCCAAAACTATAAAACTGATATTAGAACCTTGAGCCTGAACTCTACACACAATAGTCTTTAACCGAAGCCGTCAAAAAAAATGCAGCATGTCCCAGGCACACGCAGTTCCGAGTTCTTGTCCTCGAAAGTCTGCAAGAAGTCGTAGATGGCCGAGGTGTCTTTGATCTCGCAAAGCTTTAGGATCTTATCAGAAAGCTAGCTCTCCTATTTGGGGGATGCCGCATTTCAGGACCCTACCAAATCAGAGCGTAGAGAAGCCTGAGGCCAGGAAACTAAACCCTTTGACAGACTCCGGTCCATGTCCCAAGCAGCACAGTGCTTTGACCTAATGAAAATATAAATGAACTTGGGACTCCAAGTTGAGTCCAAAGCTCGTAGAGCTTACAGGAGAAGCAGCAAAAACGACCTTACTGTAATAGCAGCTACTAAGCAGTATTAAAGCAGAACTCGCATCAAAGGACCCTCATGCCGACAACGTGCTGACAATGCTGGCATACCTCGCTCAAAATGGCGTCAGTGTCAACAAGGTCAGGGCCTTGGCCCGAAATGTCACACACCGAGAAACGGAAACGGCCCGTAACATTACAGTAGTCTTTTCCCTGCAAACTTAGCACCCCACCAGCTGGCGAAACACGTCCAATTCTGCACATGAGCTATACTCATAAACTCCTGGCATCCCCCTTATGACCCCCATAGTAACCCCTATACAATTCCCTTTCTCACCCCCTTTACTGAGTTTAGACTATAGCACAGCCGGGGAAGCTACAGTACTGAGCAGCAAATAGCCTGCACTGTCGCGAGAACAGCATCCCATCCCCAACAACTCCAAACAAACTTAGGGTTTAGGGTTTAGGGCTTCGGGTTTAGAGTTTAGGTTTGGATCATTGAGCTACTGTTCAAGCCTATCTAACCCCTCAAGCTGAAACCCAAAACCCTGAACTCTGAACCGTAAACCCTAAGCGCTACATAGTAGTTACCATTTTCCTTTCCATTTTCCCTACATAGCCCTATACCTACGTATTTTACTTCCATTTTCCCTACTACGCCTTAACCTCAAACTCCCAGATCCGCCTCAGCAACCTGGTCCAGGCCGAAGTGTGTACCCAAATGCCGATGAATCGCTGCAGTTTGCCTTAAGGTTGCTTTTACCGGTCAGGGTTGAACCCTAAACCCTAAACCCTTGAAGGTCTAGGGTGTAGGCCTCAGGCTGTGGAGTCCAGTGTTTGAGCTTAGGGTTTAGGGATTTAGGCTTCAGGTTTGGACTTCGTGCGTAAGGTTCGGGGGTTACGCCGTAGGATTTTTCGTTTGAAGTTCCCTGTTCATGTTTCCAGGCTTGGATTGTAGGGTTCAGGGCCAACTAGAAACTTTCTCAACATTATAAACCCTTTCTAGGAAGCAACTTGTAAATGGAAATGAAGCCGTTTGCGAACAATCCGCACCATCTGCATCCCTGATGGTGAAGGGGAGGGCGATACCCACAATAGAGTTCAAGAGAAGTCAATTACAACAATACATCATATCAATGGCACACATAGGGACGAATATGTCCTCAGTGACCGATTAGGGCTGGTCAGGGCTTGATGAATGAGTTCCTCCCTTTTGTGGACATGCGCGCCTTGAAGCCCTTCTTTGCCTCACTTAGGAACATGAAACATGAATCTAATTCGAACTGATCGCAGTACCAGTGCTTGCTGTAGCAACGTGTCTACTGCTAGATGTAGACTTCGCGGGAAATCTTCGGAGTCCAAGTCAGGTTTAAGTCTAGTAGGAAACTTGTTGTGAAGGCTATGGCTGACGGTCTTGAAGCGTAGATGCTAAACTGTGTATAGTCTAGGAGTTCGAAAGTTTAAATCGGCGTAGCCTTTGGCCACCTTGAGCCTTGAGTTCGCACAGATCGATCCAAGGCTAAAAATCAGAACATTGCAAGCTATAAGTGTTCGTATGACCTCCCCAAGCCCTAGGTATCCCGCTAAGCGCCGCACATCGTCACACTTGGTGTATGCACCCAAAAACTCGAAGTACTGCATTTGGGCTTTCAGACATGATGATGTTCAAACAACTTTAAGGGAGCTTCAGGAGGGCGTGACAAAGGAGCCTACGGAGAAATGAAAGGTCTTTCTCAGGATATTATCATTCTACCTCTTCAATTCCCGTATCAAAATCTCAGCGCAACCTTTGAAGGTGAACCCCCGGTCAGCTTCAAACTGCTCAAAGCCCAGCTGCGGCGGCGGAGAGAGGATGGCAATCGCGGCCAGGAAACAGAAGAGGCACAAGAGGAAAAGCGGCAAGTTCTTGATGAGGTCAATCAACCTGGGATTACGGTGTTCTTTTTAGAGGATGGGATTAAGGGCTAAGGGGCGACTTCTTGATAGAGTATTTCAACTGTGGCGTATAGCATAGGGCGGAGGGGGACAAAGTCTGCCAGGCTTTCCCCACAAACACCTGCGGAGTGGAACGATCATTGCCACATATCATACACGCAGTTCTGATTACTGGTGGTTTGTAGGCCATGGAAAAATGGATTCTACTAACCACTACATGGCATTTTCAAGGACAACAATGAGGATCCATTGTCTCCTACTAGCTTTGCAAATACCTGGATGTACATCCCTTAATTAGGCTTATAACACTGTCTTTTTCTTTCCTACCGTCCTACCAACTGACCAAAATTGCGTGCTTTTCTTCCTTAATCTTTATTTGCCAACCACCCCAGGCCCTAAGCCCTGAATCCACACTCCTCCATTGCCCTGTACCAACCACCCACCCAGTGGATCTGACAAGGGAATTGACACAAAGTTTCCCTCCAGCTGCCTGTTTGGTTCCACGTGGTTCTACAGGTCTATCAAGCTTGTACTTATACAGGGTATGTGAGGATATATAGGGTTTCTGCTTCTGGGAGTTATTAACAGCGAAAATTCCCCAAATATGTCCCTCTTTTTTTTTGCTACCAGGGAATAGGCAGGCAAGTCCTAGAGAAAAATTAACATCACGAGTACCACCACAAAAGGGCCGCCGTCTTCCACCTTCACATAGATCATGCGTAAACACGCAACAAGATGCTCATCTGAGGTTTAACCGCAATGCTGGCGTTTGCAAAAAATCGGATGCTTGGGCAACATTTAAGTTAGCGTCGAACAAAGAAACTAAACATATCACCCCACCTAGCGTACTTATAGCTCATAACTAACTCTTTGCACGTATATCTGCCCATGAACCCTCAAATCCTGTTGTCAAGAAAATTAGAACGTCAACCAAAGCCTTAAGCCTGCTAGTGAATAGTAGAAAAGAAAGGTGAGGATACAAGGAACAATTGTAAGGCATACAGATTCCCGTAGGGATATCCCTTCCCAAACGGCCGACCAATCCCAGAAACTTGGGTGGGGGGGTGGGTGGGGGGGAGGTGGGGGGGAGGTGGGGGGGAGGTGGGGGGGAGGTGGGGGGGAGGTGGGGGTGGGGTTGGTGGTTCTCTCTCGCTCCTCATCAAACCTCCATGTAAACCCTGTATACCCCCTGACAAGAATTAGATAGGAGTTGTGGGAAAGAAGCACGATGGAGAGACAACCCACCCTGACAGGCATAGTCACACACTTAACTCAAAGAAGTACTCCCCAAGCTTTCCAATGTTGGCATGTGTTTGGGGGTTTAAGGTTTGGACTATAAGATGTCCAGGTAGATCCTCAAACCCCTGCCCTAGGAATCCCCAACCTCTGGTTTGGAAACGGTTCTGAATGAAGCAAGGTCACCCATCCTCCAGCGTGATCCTCTCCAACAGAACCTTCAATCATAAGGGATGTCAAAGGGGCTTGGCACGGCAGGCCAAAGAATTTAGCGTGGTAAACTGTCTGCGAGGCTTCGGCCGAATGCTTTGTAGTGAAGGTACCTGCTAGCATTTGCTCAAGCCAGAAACTTTCATCATCATGCCTGGACACATTGATCCTGGACCTCTTTCCGATGGTTTCAATGTTTAAGGATATGCTGAGACTGACCCCTTGAAGATCTGGGAGCTTTTTGAAATTCGGAGTTCTTTTGTATCACCTCCAAATACAGACGCCCTTGTCGTAGGAACTCCGGAAATGAACCAAACTTCAAAAAATCTAGCACGTTTCTGAAACCAGCGGGGCATGTACAGAACAACATCCCTGCAAATCAGTTAGATGATCCGTGCAGCCCAACACCATGCGCCGACAGCATAACTACACTTCCCAGAAGTTCATGGCCTCCGCACGCACTTGCACATGGTCCAAGTCTTTCTGCAGTTCCTGCGGAGAAACCTTCAGGGTTTGCGACCGAAACTTGAGGGTTTAAAGATTTGGGGTTCGCGGTTCAAGCAGTAGAATTCGAAGTTCAGCCTCATTGATTTACAATGGCAGCCCTTTGGGTTTTGAAGGTAAGGATCAAGTCTGGGCTGCAAGGCCGTATTGGATGTGTTTGTACATATTCCAGCACAAGCATTTGAACTCTTCTGACCTAATGACCCCTGAAGCCAGAGACCCTGACTCATTGGTAAAATCTCAAGAAGTTAGCAACTTCCTTCTAACGAATGCTTTTTTAACAGACATTTCGCGGCCCATGATACACAAAAGTTATGTCAAAACATGGTTCCGGTCGCCCTCCTGACCGCAACACTGCACCTCGTGTTCTAAAGCCTAGAATCACCAACAATGATTTTGGGCAAAAAAACTCTTTTTGCCCTTGGGTGAAAGAAGCATGATCAGCTTTGTGATTTTGATTGTTAACGCAAGCATGTTCTTCCAGGTAATTTTGACTGCCTGCAGGACGTACTGCAGGGAATTGGAGCAGCACGAGTTGCGTTTGAAGGTTCACATGTGCTTATCGAAACCTGGACTTAACGCCAAGCTTCGTTGCCATCATTGTCTGTGTCGAGCTCAGCGGTATTGGCAGCCTCCTTTTGGCAGAAAACGGCTACAAACCCCAGGACATCAACTAATCGATGATACTGGAAATTATTCGGAAATGACAAACTGATTCTTGGCAAACACGGTCCGTTGCAGCCGGAATGGACACAAGATGACTTAGAGCGCTAATCACGCCTTCCACGACTTTCAACCTGCACTACTCACGTCGTATTCCATGAACATGCTTGGGAACGCTCATTTTTGCGATACTTGCTGCATTTCCAACATCCTTCATCACGGAAGCCCGCTGGCTGCGCCGGTGCTCCTGCACACAAAACGAACAACAAAGAAGGGTGGATCTTCTGGAAAACAGACAAAAAAAAACAATCAATGGTTCATACGTCAGAATCATGAGTAAAAACCTGCACATGAGGTGCCAAACAACCGCAATAAGCAAACTTGACACGATCCCTGGAATCGTTGAAGCATAGCTCTTGGCACTCCTGGGCTGCAATCACAATTACCGCCGCCATGGCTGGGGTTGCTCTCAAGGGAACCCCACCTTCAGGCACATCTTCGACCCCAAATGCTACAACTTCATTCAAAGTCGCCGGCGTTGGGCTTGGGCTCCTGGAGTGTATGTTAAAACATGAAGCTCAAGCCATTCATGTAAGGACTTCACAAAAATCTGCTTGTGAACACATATCATTGTTGGCCAGATGGCCAACAATGATGACATGTGTGCAACCTTGTTCGGCGCACCACAATAAACACATTGCCTTTGGAAGTTTGCTGGCCAAGTTGGCGACGTTGATCGGACCAAAACTATCCAAAACCATCCAAAACCTCCGAAAACCTGAGGGGTATCACGCCAAGTTCCTTCCGTTCCAATTGATTCCACAACCACGAAGAAACAACTTGGAGTTCTGCGCAAACTGCACTGCACTTGGCCCTACGCCTACAACAACACTGTGGAACGCCCCTTTTTATTTGGGTTGCCATGAATGCCATGAGTCTCTCCAGTGCTGAGGGCTCACGAAGCTGGCATACAATAGAGTTTCTCCGGAAAACCCCCTGGCTCACCTGAAACGCTTCAGGCTTAAGTATGAGGCCGGAAAAAAAAAAAAAAAAAAANNAAAAAAAAAAAAAAACGCTGTTTGGCCCAAACATGGCATCTGGGCTTAGTGAAACTTGTGGAAAACCAGGCTAATGACTTGGGCCAACAGAAATTGTTGGCCTGCAAGCTCGTTACCGAGTTTTGGAAGTTTTGGATAGGTATGAAGCGGCCGGCGAGACCTGAAGCCACGCGGGGTTGTGTTTTCAAGAATGCATCGCACGTAGTCTTCACCTGGGCACAAAGCTTGGGCTATTGGTTCAAGTCAACAACAAGGACGGGCGGGTTGTAATGGCTTGTAAACTAGAGGGCGATCTAGGCCGCTTGTGTAGGCTAGAGGCTTGCCCAAGAACAAAAAATGACGCGGCGAAAAACTCACAGTTGCTCACAAAACTCTTAGCATTGTGTGAAAATTGCACAGCTCGCAACCCTACGCCTACACCAACACTGCGCAATGCCTTTTCACTTTGGGTTGCCTTGAATCTTTCCAGTCCTGAAGGCTCACAGGGCTGGAGGCCGCCTTCAAGGCTTGTCCGGAAAAACTGTTTACGGACTCAAACACACGGGAGGCTGCGGCTCTACCCGTTCATTTAATCCGGACCCCTGCACTGGGGTTGCACGGCAGCGTCCAGACAATCGGGTCAGGTTGCGTTCGGCCCCCGCGAAGTCTGATCCCAAGAATGACAAGGGAAGGCCACCCACTGGGCTGCGCACTGGACTGAAACAAGCGTGAGGCTGTTCGCACGGCCTGAGGATGAAAATGGTAAACGCCGGCTGCGCAGCTGAGGTTGGCAAGGCTGCGTTGATGTGATGCACTGTGCCCAACGCAAAGCTCTTTTCCTGAAGGCTCTTGAGCTGGGCTGAAGTGAAAGCCTTTCTCCAGCAGGCATTCACTGGGCGCAAAATAAAGCTTCCGGCAAAGAGACACGCCTTCTCTGGCACTGTGCAAGCTTGATATGCGTTGGACACCGAAAAGTCGACGACTTAGCGGGGCTTTTTGCGGGGCTTTTTGCCTGGTGTAATTTTGCACAAGGTTCACACGGCCTATGGCCACGCGATCAACTCCAAAGTGAGCCTGGGATGCCTTGTGCACAAAACCTGCATCCTCGTCCGCCTGGATGAGGTCCCGAAGCGAAGCTGGATCCGATTCTGCCCCTTGCCAGTTGGCAGATCGCCAGGACCAAAGCAAAAGCGTCATCCGTGGGTGGAGCTGGGGGAAAGCAATTGCTGCACGGGATATCGGAGTCGAATTCCGTAGGCACGCCCGAAAAGCGAATCTTTGTCCAGCATACATTGCCTCAGGGCATGCAAAGCGTGCAAAGCATAGCGTTGCCCAGCAGGTCCCATGAAATGGGGGACTTGGCTCCATTTTTCACCATCCAGGAAGCGAACAAATCATGTGCATGAAGAATCTCTTGCGTGAGAAACAAACCTTCTGTCTGCAAACCTTGCATCAGCCTGCGCAACCTGCTGGGGACCTTGCAAGACAGAAGCTAATGAAGACAAGCGCGGAGTTCAGGGAAGATGTCTTTGACTCCAGGAGGAGGCGAATTCCAGTCAGGGACACGGCTGATGCCTCCACCGTCCTGGATGGCTGAAGGGGGACCGAAGCGCGGCTTGTGCAGAATACTCACCAAATCTTTGGCAAAGAGGCACAGGCCAGGCTCAGAATGCTTCGCGGACGACAGGAGAGTCCAGAGCGCTGAGGCGCATCTTTGCGCCAGTTTGTCTGGGTAAACTGCAGACTGCTGAGACACAAATCCCCCAAAGGAATCCCGCCAGCCTGCAGTGGATGCGTGCGCGTCTCGCACATGGCGGCCAGAGGGACCAAGAGGGCAGAAGAAGAAGCGAACATCCAACTTTTCGCAAGGTCACAAGCTAATGCGCAGGCAGCCATCACTACACAAGACGAAGCAGGAATGCTTATAATGAAGTCCTCAAGCCAGCTTATTGCGTTCGTAGGTTGCTCCAGATCGCGCGTTGCTGGAATGAACCCGGGATTGCATTTTCAAAGTGTTGGAGCGAAGCCCGGCCGAAAACTCCGGAGCGCGTATTGCAGCAGGACCGCCTGGGCGAAGTTTTAAACGAGAGCACTCTTTGCATGGAGGAGAATCGCACATAAGGCCAATCTGCCCAAAAAAAGTGAGACGAAGAAGTGAGTCAAAAACTTCGTCTGTCGTGACGTAGTTAAACAGCACAACTCTAAAGAGATCCTTTTCTCTTGAGCTGAAAAGAGCTGCGGTGTTGGGCTCTAAAGTGAAACAAGTATACTGAGATAGGTCCATCTCAGGGAGGTCTCACATGTGTCAAATATCTGAACGCCCTGCCTAAAAGTTCGTTCGCTCTGGGCATAATCCAAACGTCACAGATTGGATTTTCATTCCCAGGAACAAATGAGTCCCACGCTCACGCACGGTTCCCAGTGGTGCTCAACCCACCATCTCACCCGCAATTACGGGATGGAGAGTCCAACTCATCTCTGGCGAGTCGACATAGTAGGGCGAACTTTGCCTCACTGACACCACGCGCCATCTGAACACTCACTCAGTCCTTCAACACTAACTTTTCCCTGCGCAAGCTCTGTTTTTGCCATCACCAGCCCAATTTTTGCAGGGATATTGGCGCTCTGCCTTGCTTGAGCCACATGAGGTACACGCGTTGCGTTGTGACAACACCACCCCAAGTTTTAGTGGGACATGGGTGCTCTGTCTTGAGTGAGCCGCCTTGATATCGCCGCCCCAAGTTTTACTGCGATACGGGCGCTCTGTCATTTGCACAGTGCCTAAAGTACCCTGAGTACAGAAGGGTAACATCATCCCAAAGTTTTGCTGGGACATGGATGCTCTGCCTCACAAAAGTGTTGGCCTTGAGCCTGTACATTTCTGAAAGGTTGCTGCTACATTTCGGCGCGGTCAACTCCTTTTGCTTGGCTACTGCTGAGTTTTCGTACCGGGTAGTCTAATTTGTTTTCTTTGCATGCATTTCCTGAAGGTAGATGTAGCAAGCTACAGCTTAAAGCCGGGCCAAGTGGCCTGTCTACGGGATCGCTAGGCTTCGGAGACGTTGCTGCACATTCAAATTAAAAAACTCAATCCTTCAAAGTACAACTAGTGAGACTTGATCTTTGGCTCCACCCAGGATTGATCCTTCATGATCCGATCCATGTTGGTCCACGCAGTCTTAATAACTGCCCACATGATCCATTGTCCTGATCCAATGTCTGAAGATTCTGAAAGCCAAACTTCAACAACATCCAAACAATAATCTGCTTCCATTCCAAACATCAAATAGCCCAACTTAGCACGCTCACAATTTCTCTTCTGCAAAAACTCGTTCGGGTGAAACTTTCTTCCTACTCCACAACTACACTACCGGCAACTCTTACTTGAACCTCCGCATACTTATCCCGGCGGCTAGTGCTCTTTTCTTCATTCCTTCTCATGAGGTCTCACTTTCTTTTCCCCACCTAGTATGAATCATGCTTCCGAAAATAGGTTTCTAGTGACCAGGTTGCAATGCATCTGAGGCAGGCGTGGTTTTGATGATTATGCCTCGCCCTCACGCAACCAAAATTTTCGCAATACGTGCATAAACCCTTGGCAGCCACACACGTCCAAACAGCGCTGACCAAAATCGCTACGCGAGCGGTGGTGGTTCCACTCCACATCTCTTTTAACACTCCTTATCACAATTCGAACAAAATGCCTGCGGACATATTTCATCCTGCTTCCAAGCAAAACGCAAACAAGTTCTTTTCGCTCCAAACTAATTCTCCATATTCAACTTCTTGTCCTTTAGATTTGTCAAAACTTATATATCAAATATTTCTTGGCTCAACGGCTCTCCAGATAAATTTATATGAGTCTTGCACACTCAATAAGTGCAGAACGTACAAGCACAGACGCAAGACACTCTTTTTCTTAATGGAAGCAAACTGCTTGGTCATGGGGCAAAGCTGTATGGCACACATTTCGCCTCACCTTACCCATGGTTATTTTTTCGGTCACACACGTCCCTGGCCCCATTGAGGATTTGGCGACTACGGACACATACACTGACCAAAAAAGACCCAACACTTAAATAGGCTCATGGTAAAATTTCACACGCGCAACAACAAATTGAATTTGCATGTTTGACAGGCAAAATTCAAGACAGGAAAGAATGAGTTTGAAGCTGCCTAATTGCAGCTCGCAAATCAAAGACAACTGTATCCCTTACGGAAGTTCGTTGTCTTTTGGATTTTGTCAAAAACTTCTATTTAGGAAGTAGTTCAATCTAAGTTGTTGCAACAGCCAGCTACAAAGCAAAAGGCTACGTGCAAAACAAAGCTAAACTTGGACACTCCCTCATTTCGATTGGCGGTGCAAAGGCAAGGCTGCAATGTCTCAGCGCAAAGCACGTTAAGCCTGTCCAGCATTA